TCCATGGCACCAGGCATGCACATGATGTACATAAATATATGCAGACAAAACACTCATACCCATAAAATAAAAATAAACCTTTTTTTCCCCTTAAGAATCTTTTCCTGAATCGAAAGCCATTTTTACTCTTTTCCTGAAATCCATTGAACCTCTAATGTATCAGAATTCTGGTTGCAAGTTATAGAAACCAGCTCATCAACTTAAGTACAAAAGAGAAATGTGTTAACATGATACAGGAATCTACATCCTGTAGAGCCTAAAGGGAAAACTTGAACAGTTCATTAAAACAAAACAAAACAAAAAACAACTCTGAAAGGCCTCAGAAACCACTAAATGCCATCTCCCCGCCTCCTGCTTCTGCTCCTCTGCATGGCTGCCTTGTTTGCTGTCATTTCAGTGACCATGGCCACTCACTGTTGCAGGACATTGATCACACTGTGAACTCTGAGATTCCATTGTTTACTGGAGGAACCTGCTGCTAGCTGTGGTGTGGCTCAACCCTAGCACATGCCTTTAATCTAAGAGCTTTCTGCTTGAATAGTGTAAACAGGATTAAGTAAAGTCTTCCATAGGTCAAGAGGTGGAGCAAGCAACTAGTTGACAGGAAAAAGCCATAGAGAATGGGAGGAAGTCAAGAGGTTGGGTGATGGGGACACACAAACACACACATACACACACAAAATGGACACGCAGGAAGTAGAAGGGAGGGACATCCACTTGGGAGAGTTTTTGTTAAAGATGTCCTAGGAGAAAACTCTCTTTCTGAGACGGTGGAGGAGGAAGCAGCTGGGTGCTCTCTGCCTCTCTGAGCTAGCAGGTTTTCACCCCAGCATCTTTATTGATACATGTTGATAACATAGAATGATAGAGACAGATAAAACAACAACTCACAGGTTGGCATTGGTGTATTACTGGTTCAGTCACTCAGAATGAACTTTAAGACATGGAACAACATTGTGGCCACATCGGAGTAGACTCGCCAAGCAGAAAGGTGTTGACTGAAAGCCTCACCCATGTGAGGAGACAACCAGTGGTGGCCATTGATAGCCAGGCGATGTGGGGGTGGGTCTCTTCGAGCTCTACTGCCAGGAGAGAAACAAGCCCAAGAGGCAAGAAGGGTGTGGTTAGCTGGGCAGGTGCAAGGAGTCTGACCCCAAGCAGTTTATTTTTGACATATTTAAGCACAGTACAACGTTGGAAGGAAGTTGCCGTGTGACAGTTATCACAACAAAACTTAAGGCATGACCATATCAGTCCTTGGCAAAGTACATGTGAACTCTTGCACAAGAATGGGTTCTGTTGACTGACAGTGCTCAGGATTAGGGTCTAGGGAGGAAGGGTTTGTAATAACCATAATAGTAAACTCTCTTGCAAAGTAAATGGAACCTCTTTCATACGAATGGGTTCAGCCGGTGGTGGTGGCACTTGGGTGGCAGAGGCAGGCAGATCTGAGTTCAAGGCTAGCCTGGTCTGCAGAGTGAGTTCCAGGACAGCCAGGGCTACACAAAGAAACCTTGTCTTGGACCCCACCTCCTCAAAAAAAAAAAAAAAAAAAAAAAAAAAAAGAGAGAATGGGTTCTATTGACTGAGAAACCATGCTTGGGAGTCTGGAAGATTCTGGTGAAGCCTGGCTCTACATAATTGTAAAAGACACCAGGTTATAAACAACATCCACTCCAACCTTCTGGGTAGAAAACAGGTATGCACATTCATTGAAGAGAAAAGCCTGTGTGTATAACAGTCCTGGTTTCTCTAATGCTTATCTGTGAGTACATGTGCCACCTATAAGATGTGATATGATATTTTTCTTTTGTTTTTCTTAAACTGGGGTAGGGTAGAACGTGGATTTAGTACTTTATACCAGTTGGAGAAAACTTAGGAAAAGAAAAGGGAAAAAACAAAACAAAACAGCCTTATCCATATTCTTACCTCCCAGGGATTACACTCTTGAATAAAGCATTTTTTCTTCTATTTTTATTACTTTTTGGCGGGGGGTGGAGGAGACTAAAGAGAGACCCCAGGACTTCCCACATGCTAGCTATGTTCTCTGCCACTAAGTTATCTCCCTGGCCCTGTTGTCTCTGGGTTTTATTACATTTGGCAAGTTCACGTGTTTATAGTGTGTATTGTGATCCACTACCCCATCGCCTGCTCTTCCCCTCCCCCACTTCTGCTGACCCTCTTCCCAAGCAGCCCCTCCACTGCCATGTCCTGGGGTGGGGGGATCCACTGGCACTTGGGCAGCTTCAGCGACTATACTACTGAAGAAAATGACTTTCCCTCCTGTGACCACCATTAACTGCCAGTAGCCATTCAGGGAAGGAGGGAGCCCTATGAGCCCCTCCTCCATCCATGATGGAGTGTTGAAGGGTCCAATCTTGCCCAGGTAACCACAGCCGCTGTGTGTTCAGGATTGTTAGAGCGTGGCATATCCAGAAAATAATGCTACACAGCACTCTTCCCATCCTCCAACTCCTGATTCTTTCCTTCTGCGGTGTTCTCTGAGCCTTGGAAGGGGATGATGATGGCCTCATTCAGGAGACTGCACTTAGTAGTCACTTGTTCCCAGCATGTTAACCAGATACGAATCTCTATGTTAACCATCACCCACTGCAAGATGCTTCCTTGATCAAGGCCAAGAGCAGCTCTTCGTTACTAGGCCGTTTGACCTCGTGTCCATTTATATCTTGTGTTTGTTTGTTTGTTTGTGTTTTGAAACAGGGCCTCACTGTAGCCCTGGCTCCCTATGAGCCCTCTGGCACTGCCTCCAGAGTTCTGGGATTAGAAGCATGTGGTACCATGCCCAGACCCCATACACGTTTACATTATCTCTGAACAACAGCTTCTCCTCCTCCTCCCCCTCCCCCTTCTTCCGTTTTTTCGGAGACAGGGTTTCTCTGTGTATCCCTGGTTGTCCTGGAACTCGCTCTGTAGACCAGGATGGCCTTGAACTCATAAGTAGCTGCCTGCCTCTGCCTCCTGAACGCTGGGGCACCTCCACTGCCTGGCTGAACTTTTTAACTTTTAAGTAAATGAGCATCATGTAGCTTAGTATTTAAACTTATCTATTGTTAGTTCCCAATGATAAATTTTAAAATAATTGATGCTTTTAAAAAGTAAACATTTTGAGTCTTGGTCACTACATCTATTTCTTTATAAAAGCCGCCTGCCTGGTGCAGCCGCCCGCAGAAGGCCCCGGCACACAGACTCAATCCTGTGTCCTCGCAGGTTTAGAAAATAAGTAGATTAGATTGTCTGTAGGGTGGATCTAATGTTAACTACGAAAAACTGATTAACTCACTTATCTTCCAGTCTGGCTGAGACCAGAGGGTCACAGCCTCAAGGGCAGCCTGAGCAACAATAGTGAGACCCTGTCTCAAAAAAACTAATAAGGCTGAACATTTAGGTCAGTGGCCAAATGCTTGCCCAGCATGCACAGGGCCTGGGTTCCAAGCCAGTACCACACGAAGAGAAGAGAGGAGAGCCAGCAGGCAGGTTAGTATGTTAAGGCCGCCTGCTCAGCATTGTTATATCAGGTCACTACCGAAGTTGGTACAGCTGGTAGCTTGAGAAACTCTCACCCAACATAAAAATTTTCTTGCCAAAAACCAGCAGTGTTCAAGTCAATGTTGCTAAGACAGTAACTTGAAAGGGTGCAGCAAATACGTCTGTGATTATGATTTATTCTTTTACTTATTCTGGGGCTGGCCAATACTGTCTGTCTTTAGATAACACAGTGAATTGATGATGTCATATATATATTGGTTTTTTCGAGACAGGGTTTCTCCACGTAGTTTTGGTTGGTACCTGTCCTGGATCTTGCTCTGTAGACCAGGCTGCCTCTGCCTCCTGAGTGTGGGATCAAAGGCGAGTGCCACCGCCACCCGGCCGATGATATCATATCTTACAGACCCAAGAACTGTTCTGTCCCTGTAAGGTTTAAGTCCCATACCTCCATTTTAACCAGTGCATCATTCATGGGTGTTGCAGTGGTTTAACTTACAGATATTTTTAATTTTGTTTTACCTCATTATCCCTATCTGGACGACATGAGTACCTTGCACATAAAATAACTTATTTCTGAAGAAATACTCTAAAATACGTAAACTACGGGTTTACTTTAGAATCAGCAGCAATGAAGCATGGTAAAGTTCTCGCGTTGGAAGCCCAACGAGCTGGTTTCCGGCCCTAGTGCTGTGACAAAAGGCTTCAGAAGTCAAAACCGTAAAGTCAGTGTGGTGACCCTTGCCTTTAATATCGGCACCCCTGAGGCAGAGACTGGCAGCTCTGTTCAAGGCCAGCCTGGCCTACACAGTGAGACCCTGTCTCTAAATCAACAAACTAACCCAAATCCAGGTTTGGTGACTGTAATCACTTCCATCACTCGCTTATTCTCAGGAGAATCATGACCTTTAAGCCAGCCTGGGCTATAATCAAGACATCTTTAAGAAAAAAATTTTAAAAAGTAAGTTTGATGGCAGGGCCAGGCTGGAGAGATGGCTCATTAGTTAAGAGCGCTTGATGCTCTTGCCAAGGCCCCGGGTTTGGTCCCTGGCACCCACACTCTCAGCCATCCCTGCCTGCAGTTCAGGGGATCCAATACCAGCACTGTCCTCCGACCTCTGCAGGCACCAAGCACATACCTGGTACACACACACACACACACACACACACACACACACACACACACACACAGACACA